CCAATTCCACTCCCTTTTGATTAAGTTTCCACCGAGTCATACGCTTGGGAAAACCAGATAGTGAATAAAGAACGCCAAAGAAGAACCAGAGAGTTCATGGTGTTGGTGAAGAATACTGACTACCATGAACTGCCCAGAAGAATGAACACATCTCTCGAAAGAAGTACAGCCAGAATGCTCCTTAGAAGTGATGATGGCAAGACTTTTAGGTACTGTGGGCGTGTCAGGAAGGAGAGGAAAGTCCCTGGAGAAGGACACCATGTTTATATAAGTAGAGGGTTAGTGAAAAAGAGGAAGATCCTCAAGGAAATGGGTTGACAGAGTGGCTGCAGCAATGGGCCCAAACATAGCAAAGATGGTGACTGTGGCTCAGGAGCAGGCAGTAGTACACGGGGTCTCTGAGTCAGAATCGACAGCACCCAACAGCAACAGCAAGAGGTTAGTTAACTCATTCTCAGACCAACTCTGCTGTCATTGCCGCCTCTCCCTCCTCTTTTGTCATCAAAACAGAGAATCTTTGTTTTGCTCACATCCATAAAATGATTGCTTTTGCTATAAATTATGAAAAGTGTATCAAAGTCATAAATTAAGAAGACCCGTGTGCATCCCTGGTACGTCCAAGTCTAGGTCACTAGCTCTTCTCTCTCTCCTGGCTGGCCTGGTCTCTGCTTCTCCTACTCCATTCCTGAATAGGAACCTACTCACACCCCAAACCCAATCCAGGAAAGCTTCAGCTCTCTTGTGTTTGTTTTTGCTCTCTGTTGGACTCTTCCTCCTAAGTAGATTTGCTATGACTGCCTCCTCTCATCACTCAGATCATAGCCCAGACCCCACCTCCTTGTGAAGGCCCTGGGCCTAGCAAAGAGTCTAACATTGTACAAGAGGTCCGGTCTTTACCCTCTGCTCTTTGCAGGTGACCTCTGCTTGCAAGGTGGCCTTGAGCTGGCCAGGTAATTGCAGTGAGCTTTAAGTGGGGGTTGGATTTAGGACAGGAGACTAAGATCAACCACTTGGACAACCCAGACTGTGTAATGAACCCACCGCCGTCGAGTTGATTCCAACTCAGAGAGACCGTATAGGACAGAGTAGAACTGCTCCTTTGGGTTTATGAGCCTGTATATATCGATGGGAGCAGAAAACCTCATCTTTCTCCCATGGGTTGGCGGGTGGGTTTGAACCGTCAACCTTATGATGAGCAGCCACATTACCATCAGGGCTCCTTTCTGTACTGCACCTCAGTGAAAACTCTGGACACCTAGTTTTGTTCAGTGAGCATCCCTAGTTGGCAGGACCCCAGGGAGAACACAGCAGATGCTACACATTTGTGGCTTCTGGGTCTGACCCATGTATTTCTTCTTTTGGCTAAGTTTAATCTGTATCCTTTCCATGTAATGAAGCATAATTGTAAGACATGAGCCCTGCTGGTACAATGGGTTGAGAGCTTGGCTATGAACTGAAAGGTCAGCAGTTTGATCCTCCCAGCTGCTGAGAAAAGCATGGAAGTTTGTTTCTGCAAAGATTTACAGCTGTGGAAACCCCATGGGGGCAGTTCTCTGTCCCACAAGGGTCGCTTTGAATCGCATTCAACTAGACAGCAGCAAATCTGGCTACTTTGGTGAGTAGGACAGTGTTTACTGAGCTGTGTGAGTTGTCCTAGTGAATTCTGGAAGCGGAGGAGGACTTAGGGAACCCCTGCACATTGTAGTAAGTGTCAAATGTAGGTGTGGTCTTGGGAATGGTTCACTGTAACTGCAGTTGGCCTCAACTCTTGACACGTCTTGGACCACCCATCCACTTACTTTTGCAGCACAGTCAGCCTCGGCCTGTTTTCTTCTCTGACTAATCTGTGTCCCTCAGCCCCTGACCTGCTGTCCATTGTGGCACCCTGGCCACTTGAGCATATGTGAGTTTATTCTGCTGCACTATGTCCACCACTTCCTTACCTCTCTATTATTCACTCCCGAGGCTGGGTGTGGATTCTTAAAAATAAGGCCATGTTCTACACCTGTACTGCACCCAGCCCATCTGTTGCTTAGCTAAATTTGTCAAAACTTATCACATGATTTTGTTAAACATGTGCAATTCAGGTAGATTAAAAAATAGATTTTACTTTTTAGAGCACTTTCAGGTTTACCAAAAGCAGAGAGTTCTCATCTCTACCTGTTGTGGCTTTGTGGGGGGAGGTCAGATGAGATGCGCAGGCATTCCCTGCCTGAAGACAGTCAGTCGCCAGACCAAGGGGTGGGTCTGCTCCCTGCTGGTGGGGACAATGAGCTAAGGCTTGGGACCATTACCTTGGTGGGGTTTACACCCTACTGATAATGGTGCCTATGGAGACCCAGAGAACAGGTCAAAGTTATGCTACCATCCTAATTCTAGGATCCCCTCATCTTGTCACAAGTATGCCCCAAATCCCTCTTCTTCCTATTGAGTATGTCCCTAGACCACCCCCTCTCAGTGCTGTATAACCTATAGTGTAACACCTTCCTGTGACGTATGTATTTACCTGTAATTAGGGGGCTTGCACACCCCCAAAGATATATAGGCCTGGGTCAGAAATACAGATCTCTCTCGCTGGGCTCTTGCTGGTCGCTCCCCTCTCTTCCCCCTCTCCTCTCCCATCCTCTCTCCCTTGTTCCCTCTCCTGTCCTCCTTCCCTTCCCCCTTTCTCCACATGGACCACCAGGTGAGGAATGCTACCATGTAATGTGTCTGACTGCATCATTGTAATATCTCTCATGCTCTCGATGACTTTAATATAATATATATACATCTCAACCGTATAATTGTATATTACTGAACCTGTGGGTAGTAGTAGTAGTGGTGGGGGCTGGCTCCCCCCAACTTAATACTACATGGCTTGAATTATTATTATGTCTGCCCCAAATCCCAGCTGACTCACAATGATTTGACAATCGTGCAATGATGTAATCATCCTCCATGATGTGACCTGGTGTGATCAGTCTTTAATGTTAAGGGGACTGGGGTAGGATGCAACACCCTTACTCAAGTCACAGCCCTGATCTGATATTGGGGGAGTTTTCTGGGGCAGGGCGAGTTTCCTCTCACCTTAAAGGAGAGAAAAGAGAGCAGAGAGAGAGGGACCTATTAACTATCACCAAGGAAGAAGAGCCAGGAGTGGAGGATGTCCCTTAAATCCAGGGTCCCTGCACTGAGAACCTCCTAGACTAAGGTGACCAGATTTTAACATTGGTAAAGCGGGACACCACTGATAAAATTCATATCCTGGCGAAATAGCCACATGGCAGCCGAAAACCGTATACCCTAGCTTGTCGTGCATTCTTTCCAAAAATGGGGACTTTTAAAAAATGCCGCAGGACACGGGAAAAATTGTGAAAATTCGAGACTGTCCTGCCAAAAGCGGGACGTCTGGTCACCTTATCCTAGACCCAGTGAAGATTGAGGACAGGGACAGAAAGCCTTTCCTCAGGCCTGGTGCCCTGAACTTGAGCTTCCAGCCTCCTCAACTGTGAGAGAATAAATCTGTTGGCCAAAGCCGCCATTGTGGTATTTCTATGATAGCAGCCCTAGATCACTAAAACAGAGGGTCTGTAGATGCTACTCATTAACTCCAGGCTGTGCTAAGCTCACTGCCATGGGTTCATTCTGACTGAGAGCGCCCCTATGGGTAGGGTAGAACTGCCCCTGTGGGTTTCTGAGGCTGTAAATCTCTACAGGAGCAGACAGCCTCATCTTCCTCCCCAGAGCCACTGGTGGGTTTGACTGAGGACCTTGTGACTGCACTGTAACAGCAGGGCTCCTTCCCAGTGCTGGAGCAGGGTGTGTGGTGTGTTATAAAGCAGAGAACAGGCACAGGTGCCCAGAGAGAGGGGCGTCCTGATGATGAGGCCCTGGATGGAGTCAGGCTGCACCAGCTAGCTAGGTGAAGCTGACCCTAGAGCTCTGGGTGGGAACATAGCCCTGTCAGCCCTGGGTTTGCCCCTCTGGCCTCCTGGACTGTGAGAAAATGGTTTTCTGCTCTGAGCCACCTCCTTTGAGGGGCTTCGCCCTGGCAGCCCCAGGAGACCCCTTTGCCTTCAGCTTCCCCTGTTGTCCACAGTGGGTTTGGAGAAGTTGACAGTTCAAATCCATCAGCTGCTTCTGGAGGCTGTCTGCTCCTTCAAGGGTTTACAGTCTCAGAAGCCCAAGGGTTAGTTCTACCCCATTTTACAAGGTCACGGAGAGTAGGAGTCCACTCGACGCCAGTGGGTTTGGTTTCATATATCTGCACTCCACTGCATACGATCCATGAGCCAATATGGCAAAATTATTGACTAAAGTTCATAGTTGACATTGGGAGTGGCTGGTGGTTTAAAACTGCTGACCTCTTCGTGTTACAGGCGGGCTGTTTTTTATAAATAAAACCAAGAGGTGTGTGTGTGAAAGAAAAAGCACCTATCAAGAGGAATAAGTGGTATGTGGTGCAGCATAACTGGACCCGCACCGCCTGGCAGGTCCGGGCTCTTATCTGCCCAGGCCCTGTCCATTTACGCAACCCCACCCCTCCCATCCTGCTCACGCTCCGTTATCTTCTGGCCCCGCCCCGTATTTAAGGACCCGCCTCATCCCTGCCCCTGCCTTTGCCCTCTTCACTCCAGGCCCCGCCCCGGCCTTGGATTTCTTCCCACTAAGACCACGCCCACCCACCAGGGTCCCGTTATCCTCTCGGCCCCGCCCCCTCACTCAAGGCTCCTCCTAATCCCAGACCCCGCCCCTATTCCCCAACTTTGCCTCCTTCATTCCTTGCTCCCAGCCGGGTCACTCACTCCGGCAAAGCCCATCCCGTCCCACTGCTTCTCTTGCAGCCACGACCTCCCACTTCAGGCTCCTCCCCTTGGTGCCAGGCCCCGCCTCCAGTCGCGGCATTCCCGCAGGGAGTTCGCGGGCGGCGGCCGCGCACGCGCAGAGCAGCGGTCGGTTGCCGTGGCAGCGCCGCCCGGAGGGGAGGAGGGTGGCGGCCGGGCGGGCGCTGACCGAGACTGCTGCGACTGAGGCGGCGACGCGCGACTGAGACCCTGCGTCCGGCTTGCCTCCGGGCGGGCAGCGTGAGCGGCGGGGCGCGCCGCCCGGCCGGGGAATGCGGGACCGGCTGCCGGACCTGACGGCGGTGAGCAAGCGAGCGAGCGGATAGCGGTTTGGGCTGGGCGGGTCCAGCGGGAGGCCCGAGGCTGGGAGGGGCCGGGCTGAGAGGAAGCGGGGCTCCCCAGTTCAAGGAAGGAGTGGCCTGGGTGGAAGAGGGGCGCCCAGGACCGGGAAGGAGAGGTCGCGTAGGGGCTCCCAGCTCAGAAAGGGAGGGTCCCTGGAAGAGAGGGTCTCAGGCCACGGAGGGAGGAGCTGAGGGGAAGGTGGGGTTCCAGGCTAGGGCCGGAGGGGCCGAATGAGAGGGGGTCCCAGACTAAGCAAGTAGGTGCCCTGGTGAGGGAGAACGGGTCAGAGGGAGGGGCCCAGATGGAAGGAGGGGGGTCTCAGATCAGGAAAGGAAGAGAGGGTTGCCCTAGACCATGGAGGAAGGGTTTGGTTGGGAGGGGGCTCCCAGGTCAGGGATTAGGGGCCGGAGTGGGTGGGTAGAGTCCCAGGGGACTTCCCAGGCCACAGTCCCTCTCCAGGCCCCACTCCCGCTCCCAGTGGGCGCAGCTGGTGACTTCACTTCCTTGGCTGGTCAGGGGTGGTCTCATCTTGCTCCCACACTTGCCCCTTTGACAGCTCAAGAGGCTGGATCCCTTACTGCCCAGATCCCAGCACTAGTCTCCTTTCTCGGCAGGACCCACCCCCACCCCACCGTTTGTGGGAGAGAACCCCCTCTTCTGGGACCTTTACTGCCCTTATCAGGGCCAGAACTTGTGTGTGTATAACTGCTGCAGGGCCCACCCTAGGGTGCTGGCAGCAGCCGGCGGCCTGCCCTCCACTCTGCCCCGGGTTTCCCTCGCCTGTCTTGCGCTTTGGGGATGCTCTGTTGATGTTTGGGTGAGCGAGTGTGTGTGTGCTGGCTGCAGGGGGCGGAGAGCAGCTTGTCTCTCTTGAGCTCCCGGCGGGCAGTTTGCTCTGTATATGTGTTTATAGGCGGATCTCGGTTATTGTACTTTGCAGATTCCACATTTTTTAAACACATGGGAGGTTTGGGGCGACCCTGCATCAGGAAAGTCTCTGGGCGCCATTTTTATGGCCGTATGTGCTCACTCTATGTCTGTGCTCCTTTAAGGTTGTTCCCACATCTCTGTCACCATAAGGCTACCGCACACTTCGTAGACCGTGTCTATGCAATGTTCAGTTCCCCGGGGGAACCAAAAAGCGCGGGTGTCCCGCTTCATTGCCATCTTCGCCTCACTGCTGGACCTGACCTGGACTGCAGAGCCTCTGAGGGCTGCCTGTAGGCGCAGTCCCTTTTGGACGTCTTTATTCAGTTGCCCCTTCCCTCTCAAGGGTCAGAGTTTTTGTACCAACACCCATGCTTGGCCCCTTTGCTGACTTCCTGGCCTGAAATGCTGGTTTTGGCATGTCCGTTGGAGATATTCTGCCCCCACCAAAGGCCACTGATCCGCCCTGCTTGTAGATGCCAGTCCTGTGAGCCAGAGGTGCCAAATCTAGAGTGGAACACTCCAGACTGGGAACGTTTTTGCCCAACAGAACTAATGATAGGTTCCCCCCCCCCCACATTAAGATCATGGGTAGTAATTACTGCTGCTCATTTCCCCTTTTGTTAGGTCTTCTTGCACATTTCTAGCCTCTGCCACCTCCAGCGGGGGCTGGAAGCCCGATTGCCCAAGGGCATCCCTGTTATGAGCCTAGGATGCTCATTCAGGACCGTGTTGGACCAGTAGACCCGCACCTGAGGGTTTCCCAGTCTGTAATCTTTACAATGGAGCCCTGGTGTTGCAGTGGGCTACACTTTGTGCTGCTAACCTCAAGGTGGGCAGTTCAAACCCACCAAGTGTTCTGAGGGAGAAAGATGAGGCTATCTGCTCCTGTAAAGATGAATGGTCTTGGAAACGCCAAGGAGCAGTTCTGTGCTGCCCTACAGGCTTGCCCCGAGTCAGAATCGACTGGATGGCAGTGGGTTCCCCTTTTATGACGGGTCAGATGTGCTGAGCTTTGCCGTGGAACCCTGCAGGTGACTGAGTCCTGTGCTGTCTGACTGGGTGCCCCAGGATAGGAGTTCAGGTATTGTAAAATGAAGAGATGCTGACGGGGGGGTGGGGGCAGTAAGAAGTCAAATAAGTCTCAAAGTGGCAGAGTGCATGTTCTAGAACTTCAGAAGTGGCCTCACAGAGTCTGATACTGTCCTGCGTTAGGTGATAAGACTTAGCATATCAGTGGAGGTGTCTCATCCTGGGTCGATTTCAAAACTCCCAAGACCCACAGTTCCCTGGCTGTGAAGCGTGGATAATAGCAGGGGACTTGCCTTTGTCTTCGAGGCAGGGGGTGCACCTGAGGTGATCTGCCTGTGAAGTTTGGGAGAAGGTGAGAGGAAGCAAGTGATGGGTACTTATAAGAGCTACTACTATTTACTCTGTCTTTGTGCATTCTCAGGAAGTTATTAAAACCAAAACCAAGTGAAACCTTTTCCCGAGTATAGAATGTTAATTTGAAATGAAGTTTGATATCCTTCTTAATAACTTTTGACTTTCAAAACCTATCTGAGTTGCTAGATAGGAACATTTCAGTGAGATCCCCCATGCCCTGCGGCCATCCAGAGTAAACTGTCTGCCCAGCAGCGTGTTTCTAAGGGTCCGCGTTTTTCTATAGGCGAAGTTTAGTGTTTCATATTGGTTAGTGAGCACACCTCATTTGCACCGTCAACACTCCCAGCTTTGTGATGCCTCCGAGACGTTCCCCTCCTTCGTTCCTGATGCTTCCTCCTCAGGAAAAGATTACTCACCACCTCACTCAAGGGGACCCACCACCCTCGGGGGCTCCGGACTCTGCTTCACCCTGTAGGTCAGAGGAGAGCTGCTGGGGCTTCCAAGGCTGTCAGCCTTTTTGGAGGACGACAGCCTCATCTTTCTCTGAGGGCTGAGTGCTTAACCACTGTGCCACTAGGGCTCCTTTAGGTTAGCCAGGGTCTCCGGGTCCCTTTGAGCTGACCCCAATAGTGACAGCATCGAGCTACCCTGTAGGGTTTACTAGGTGGTCGTCATCTTTATGGGGACAGATGCCAGGCTTTTCTCCTTCAGAGCCACTGGGCGGGTCCCAATTGCCAGTGCTGAACCACTGCACCACCAGGCCTCACTCTGAGTCGAAAACCAGCATAATGTCCACATTCTAGGAGATGATGACCCCAAACATGGTTCGATTACTTCAGTTCCAGAATTCTTGTCTGCCAAAGGATATGCTTGCTGTGCTTGAGACTAGAGGAGCTACAGGTCACAGCTGTGGGGCTTGTTTGCATGATGACAAACACAAGACTATGAATAGACAGATTATAAACTTACATAGCACGCATGCAAAAACACAGGGGCTGTACACACAAATCTCATCCACTACCCCGGAGTCCCATTCTGAAATGGTAGATTTTTATGGGAGCAGACAGCCTCCTCTTTCTCCCTTGAAGTGGCTGGTGTTTCTGAACTGCCAACCTTGTGGTTAGCAGCTTATCACCTAGCCTACAGCATCACCAAGAATCTCCAAACACAAACAAAAACAAAACCAAAAAAATAAAACCCATTGCTATCAAGTTGATTTTACTCTCTAATAGGATCTAGGCACCTTATAGGACAGCACAGAACTGTCTCTGTGGGTTTCTAAAGCCTGTTAATGTTTATAGGAGGAGATAGCCTCATCTTTCTCCCCTGGAGTGGCTGGTGGGTTTGAACTGCTGACTTTATGGTTAGCAGTCCAATCCTAAACCCACAGCGCCACTAGGGTTCCTTATAATAGCTGTGTGGTGTTCATTTCTAGATCTAAGGGCAATGAGAGTATGACAGTACTTTAATCTCTGAGTGCAAGGCTTTGAATTCCAAATTCAAACCTTTATAGGGCAGGACAAACTCGACTCAGATCTTTTGAAGTTATTCCTTTGGCCACACAAATAGCTCATGTTGTTCAAGATGCTATGCACTAAATACTCAGACCCTAATTTTAAAACAAGAATTTATTTCTCCTTAAATTGTTGACTGAAACAAAATACAAAGTGTGTCTACTCTGCTTATCATTTTGTATGTGACGCCCTGGTGGTGGTAGTGGGTTACATTCTGGGCTGCTAACCACAGAGGCAGTGGTTTGAACTGGGAAAGGGGTGGCAGTGAGCTTCCGTAAAGATTTGCAGTATTGGAACCCCACAGGGGCAGTGCGACTTAGTGAATGACTTACAGCAGAGGGCCTTGGTTTGTTTTGTTTGGGGTAGGTATCGTATAGAATTTCCCAGCCTACTCAGTCCTGCCAAGCTTTTACGTTCCACTGATCCCCTGGAACAGTTTCCCACAGCTGGAACCTGCCCTTTCTCTGCTTGCTTCCAGAGCTGTGTCCCTTTTGGTCTCTGTAAGGCAGCAGTTCTCAACGTGTGGGTTTGACCCTTTTGGGTCGCCCAATTCATAACAGTAGCAAACTTACAGTGATGAAGTAGCAACGGAAGTAATTTTATGGTTTGGGGGGATCACCACAACATGAGGAACTGTATGACAGGACCGCGGCATTAGGAAGGTTGAGAACCACTGCCTAGACCCACAGATGGGCTGCTTCTCGATTTTAGCTTCCGGTCTCGTCTGAGTTAACAAGTCAGACATCTCAATGACAGCCCTGCATCACACTGTCCGTCCTCCCTGGTGGCCTCCCCACATATGCTGGGCTACAGCCCCAGGTCAGCGCTGGGCTCCTGAAATGCCCTCGCCCCGCTGCCTGCTCCCAGCTCCCTGCCCTGCCTGCCTGGGGGCTCATGTTTCTGGCAGTCCCTCAGAAAGTCTGGGCATTTCCTGCATGGTGTATGAACTAGAGCCCTGACAGGCTTACCCTGAGGTGGGGCTCTGGCCAGGCTGAAGCGATGTCCTCATAGTGGCCAGGCCAGAGCTGCCCACCTTGGGATGCTCCAGGCCAATTACGAGATCTTTTCCTGCACGTCACCTCAGTGCCTCCTGTTGGACCTGCCGTGAAGCTGTCGGCCCAGTACAGCTGACCATTGAACTAAACAGGCACCGGGAACTGCCCCCGCACAGTCAAAAACCCACATGTAACTTCATTCCCCCCTAACTTGGCTGCTAATAGCCTCCTGTTGACTAGATACCACACTGATAACACACACAACCTGTGAACAAAGGTTCACTACTGACTCCATGAAACTCACTGCCGTCCAGCTGGCTGGGACTCAGAGTGGCTCTGCCTCGGCTTCCCAGCCCACCTCTTCCTCCTCTGCATGCAGAGAGATAGCCAGTATTTCTCCCAGTGGCAGGTGCACTGGCCAAGAATCAAACTCAGGCCCTTAGGAAAGGAGAGCATGCCACTATGGACACACCACTGTCCCTTACTTCTACTTGGGGCCCCAGAGTTGAGGGAACAGCTGAATCGGGGTGGTGGTGGGATGCTGTGGAGTTGGTTCTTTGCCATGTCTGAACCCATTGTTGCAGCCACAGTGTCTGTCCATCTCACTGACCCTCTACCATAGCGTGGTGTCCTGCAGGGATTGACCACCTGGTGATCTGTATATTTGTATCATGTCGTTGGGGAATTTGGGGTTGGTTCTGACTCACAGTTATGACCTATGCCACAGTAAAGCTGCCCATTGGATTTCCTAGACTAATCTTTACGGCAACAAATTATTGCTAGGTTTGTCTTTTGCAGAGCTGCAGGGTGAGTTTGAACCACTGACCTATTGGTGAACTTTTGATTGGCAGCCCAGTGCGCGCTCATTCTCTCTCTCTCTCTCTCTCTCTCTCTCTCTCTCTCTCTCTCTCTCACACACACACACACACACACACACACACACATACACACACACAGTGAGGGTCAGGATTGACCATGAGATGGATGGCCATGGTCCTGAGTGGGACAGGAGAGGCTTTGTAGTGCTTCTAAGACACGCTTATGTCCCAGGCATCCTCATTCCCAGACTCTTCCAGGCTCAGTGTTGGTGGATGGCTGTGTCCCAGTGATCCCCTCGTTGTGAGAGGGAAGCTGGCACCTCAAGCCTCTGATGGGCGAAGACTTTACTGGTGCTTCTAAGAAGGGCGTGGAAAGGCGGAGCCCCACTCCCACCTCGGCTTCCCTCAGGCTGGAGTCCAGCTGACTCACTGGGAGTGGCCTCCGCTGCCCCATGCTGCCAGCGTCCGTCCGCAGCTCTGCCCTTCCTCTCTGCAGCCCTCTGCTAGTCAGTGTCCATTCCATTCCCTCGGGTCTTCATCTGTCCTCTCTTCTCCCTGGCGCTGAAGACCTTTTTCTTTTCCCTCTTCCTAATTGAGATTTTTTTCAGTCCGTTTATTTGGTTCTGACTCCTAGAGACTCCACAGGACAGTGCAGACTGCTCGGTAGGGTTTCTGAGACTGTAAGTTTCTGTGGGTACAGACAACCTCATCTTTCTCCCACTGGTCGGTGGGTTCAAACCGCTGATCTTTTGGTTAGCAGCCCAGCCTCTAGCTCTTGGTGTCACCAGGGCTCCTTATGGGATGTGGTGTGCTGACCGGTCTGGTGTAAGAAGGAAGGGTTCTAAAATGCACTCTGTGGAGAGCAAATGTTTTGAGAATGATGAGGACAATGAATGTACAAATGTGCTTTCCACAATTGATGTGTGGATTGTGATAAGAGTTGTATGAGCCCCTAATAAAATGATTAAACAGCAACAAAAAAAGACCAGGCTTACAGATCTGAGAGACTGGTGGAATCCATTAACATCCTTCAAGCCTGGAACTGTACCCACTCTCCAAGACCACCTTCCAGTCAAACAATAGACATGACAAAATAATAATTTACAGATTATCAAGGGTTCATGAGGGGAGGGGAGTGGGGAGGGAGGGGGAATAATGAGCTTAAGTAAAGAGCAAATGTCTTGAGAATGTTGAGGGTGACGAATGTACAAATGTGCTTTACACAATTGATGTATGTATGGCTTGTGATGAGTTGTATGAGACCCCAATAAAATAATTAAAATACAATACAATAAAATGCACTCTGGGCTCCCATAGCTACACGCCCTCTGTCCATCCACAGTCTGCTATGTGACAGTGCAGCTGAGTTCAGTGGCAGGCGTGGCAGTGACAGTTCCCGCTTAGTCGAAGAATGACTTGAGTTCTTGTAGGTATCCAGCAGCTGTTATCTCTCCATGCACTGCTGAGACTTGAATTTATAAAGGCTTTTAAAAAAGCACTGGAATCTTCCATGTTATATTTTCCATTTCAGTGTCGGAAAAATGACGATGGAGACACGAGTGTCGTGGTTGAAAAGGACCATTTTATGGATGAATTCTTCCATCAGGTAAGAGCTGTTCACTGAGAACCTCCCAGCCCCCCCAGCCCCCACCCCTGTCAGCTTCCCTCTTTAGTGCTGATGTAATGGGGTTGGTGTAACTGTGCAGTTATCAAATTGGACGCTGCTGTAATCATCAGTGAAGCGAAGATTCGTAGACATTGCTGTGTGAATCACATATGTTCCTCTAGTCTTTTCAGTGCTCCGGAAACACTGAGGAGAGAAGCAATTGTTGTTGCCGGTGATTGCCTTGGCAGGTGGGGCGAGAACGGTGGAACTGGGTAGGTGGCATGCAGCAGCCCACCCTCCTCCTGTGAGAGAGCTCTGCTCTAGCTGAGGGCCCGCTTGGCGAGGAGGGTCTGTCTGCTGGTGATGGTGGCCTTCTTCTCGGGGGGTTTGGAGGTGCTGGTGGGTAGCACTCGATCTTATGGCCTTTCCCCCAAGTCATCTCCGTACACAGAAGCAAGTGTGCGCTGTACTGCCCTGTTGTGTGGGCTGAGATGGGTGAACCAGGCCACGATTCTCAGTATTACACAGTACTTGACCCCAGTTATTCCTCTGATGTAAGCTTAATGGGTTGCACATCATCACTCCTATGATGGTAATGAGGCAGTTTTCTTAACGAGGTAGATACAATCTACAGGATTAGATTGTATCTAGCTGAGCTCCTTTGAGATCCAACAGGGATTAAACAAGGAAGCAGACATGGGAGGGCTGGGCTACCACCCAGAAAGAAGGGCTTGGAGCTGAGCACGTCCGTTGGACCCAGGGTCTCTGTGCTGGGAACCTCTTAGACCCAGAGGAAGACGGATGAAAATGAACCCACAGAGAAAGGTTCCCCCTGTGTCTGGTCCCCTGACTTTGAACTTCTAATCTGTGATAGAATAAATTCTGATTTATTCTAAACTGCTGCCTTCAATGGATTACCACTTGGTGTAAAGAAAGTCAAAATCCTTACAACTGGACCCATAGACAACATCACGGTCATTGGAAAAAAGATTGAATTTGTTAAGGATTTCATTTAATAGCCAAGAAAGCCAACAACCTATTGCAAATCTTTGCTTCTTAACATGTTGGAGAACAAGGGTATTGTGTTTGTCTGGGTACTTTAGAGAAACAAATCCACAGAAACTCATGTATGAGAGAAATTTTTATATAAAGGTTAAGCGCACATCAAGAAAACATCCCAACCCAGTGCTGCCCAAGCTCACAAGTCCAACATTAGCCCATATGTCTGACACCAATCCACAAAGTCCTCCTCCATCTCACAAAACACACACTATGACACTGACTGCAGGAGGGAAGCCGAATCAGTGAACGTGTAAGCATCTCAGCGCTGGCAGGGGTCTCCACACGGCACTCCAGCACCCAGGCCTGCATCAGGGTAGGTCCATGTGGCTTCTCCTTGGGGATGTCTTGCAGGAAGTGAACCTTTCCAGCGGAAGCAGGAAACTGGCTAAGAAAAGCTGCACCCTGGTCCAACCATCAGAAAGCAAGAGACCCGCGAACTGGAAAGGCGAGGCTCACCAAACCATTTATCTCTCCGCCCTTCAATTAACCCCACATGTTCTTATTGGCTCGGTTGGCACAATAACTTTATATCAGGTATCATTTTGAGAACTAAGGTGCAGCTGCCCCAAGCCAAGGTATTTTCAGTCACTTCATACGTATGTAAAAGTTGGCATTGAATAAGGAAGGGGGAAGAAGAATCAAGGCATTTGAACGATGGTGCTGGAAAAGAATCTGAAAAGTACCATGAAAAAACAATCCCTCTGTCTTGGAAGAAGTACAGCGAGGATGCTCCTCGGAAGTGAGTATGCAGGACTCTGGCTCATTTACTTTGGACAGGCCATCAGCAGGGACTCGTCCCTGGAAAAGGACTTCATGCTTGGCATACTGCATAGTCGGCAAGGACTGTCTAGAAGATGGACTGGCAGAAGATGCACCAGTGAGCTCAATCACAACAATTGTGAGGACTGACGGTGGTTCGTTTTGTTGGGCACAGGGCCGCTGCGAGTCAGAATCGACTGGACAGCACCTACCAAGAACTAACAAAGCCACTCACGTGTGCTGTTTTTGTTATATCGGCACTAGACAGCTGAGATGTGGTCACTGGTCAGTATGGCCATTGCCCAGAGTGCAGGGCTGAGGTCGCCACATCTGGAATGGTGGCTCTCAGATCTGACCTGGAACCCGGTGCCTTCTCTGGGGCTGCACCGGGAGCCGCCCCTCCCTCCCCAGGGTCGCCCTTCCCTTGTTACATGCCTTGCACCATCGGCAGACTCGTGGATCACATTCTGCAGGGGTTCTAACTGTTGAGAGTGAGTTCCAGCACAGGTCTCTTGCCTTTGCTCACTATGACGAAAAGAAACGTGTCCACAGCATATGTTTTTGGTGGTGGAAGCTTTACTTTCAGGTTGGGTCTCGTTCGTGCTTCAGCTAAAATACACTGGTTTCGGTGTTTGTGCTCCTGTAAAAGCATCATCCTGCTGGGTCTGCTGATGTAGGGCTTTAAACATCCCTAACATGCTGTCCTTGAAATAATACCCACTGCCAAGGTGGTCACCAGACGTCAAGGATTGCCTATAGTTCCTGGTTTTGATCTAGTGGGGAAACCAGGAAAGGACATTGTGAGCGAGATATGAGAAGTGACCTTGGTGACAGTATGGCGGCTGCAGCAGCGGGCTCAGACATGACGGCGATTGCGAGGGGGCACGGACTGGGCAGGGTTTACTCCTGTTACTACTCGAGTTGCTAAGAGTCAGAGCCGGCTTGAGGGCACCGTACAACAACTGCTAGGTTTCTGCTGGTACTCCTTGGAAACGAGATGCTTTTTATTGTCTTTAAGACTCCCTGCCCCCTTTGCCATGTTTCTGTTTTCACCTCCTTTCCCTGGGTGCTCGGAAGCCGTGTGTCACTGCGGGTTCTCTGAGGGAGAAAGATGAGTCTGTCTGCACCTGTCAGGGTGGGCGTCTCTGAAACCCTATTGGGCTTGCTCTGAGTTGGCAGTGACATGATGGCAGTCGGTATAGCTTTTGGCTTTACCCAGACACAACTCCTTGTAAAAATATATTTTTTATTTTAAAGAACCTCCTAGCATTACATGTTGTTGCTGGATTCAGCACAGAGATTATACAGCATAATTCATTGAATGATCCTAAACTGGAGTCGTCGTTAAACGAGGACATTGCTGTGGTGGGTAGGGAGCCCTCGTGGCCCCAACAGTTCAGCCTCAGCCACTGACCAAAATGTTAGTGGTTCACACATCTCTATGGAGAAAGAGCCGGTGGAAAATCCAGGGGCAGCTTCACTGTCACACGAGGTCACCATGATTTGGAATGGACCGCTGGTGGTTCGCGGGTGGGTCAGGAAGCTGGGGCCAGATGGGACGAATGTGGATGGTCGGGTAATCTCTAGTTTCCGCCTGCTGAGAGCCCAGTCGACTCCACAGCCAGTGTCTTGTCTGTGAAAGGGCCTCTCCAGCAGTGGTTGTGTGCTGACAGCAACTCACTTCTAGAAAACGCCTTCAGCTCCAACGCATCCCACTGTCTAGGCTGATAATGGACAAGGAGAGACCCTGTGTGGGGAGTCCCCGGTGCAGATGGGAGCTGGCACCATTGTGGCAGCGGGACGTCCCTGTGGGTGCTGAGCCCCACAGCTTCCTTTTCTTCTGCAGTCACAGCGGGCTGTTTATTGTCAGGGGCCCGACGTTGTCTGTGTCTGCTTTTGACACGTGGAATTCTTTTTAGAAACGGACCTTCCAAGATGGCCGAGGGACATGCAGGCCTGTGTGCCGAAACCAAGTATCTTTACTTGGGTGAGGCCCGCGTTGTGAAGCAGCAGATATTTTAAAAGATCTGTTTTCAGTTTAAAGATTTTGTGTTTACAGGAAGACTGAAATGAAATTATACTGTAAGAACGTGAAGAATTCCACTACAGACATTGAGCTCTGGTGGGAATAGCGCCCGCAGTTTTTGATAGCTTACAGCTCCTATCCCCGTTAGACTCTCTTGCAGTGCTGCGATCTTCGTCGTATCTGGGCTTGGGCTGGGGACCTTAGGGGATCCTGGGCCCCTCACATAAGGTCCAGGTGGTCACACAACACCAGACCCTGGGACAGCAGGGCTTTGAGCTTCGTGGCCCATCTAGACATGGGGTTTGCCCCCTGTCATGAGCTCTGAGTGAGAGGGTGAGTTCAGGCTTGAAGCACTTGAACTCACTGCCGCGGTGACAGGGCAGAGTCTACGGGCCCTCGCAGTCCCAGCTTTCTAGCTCAGGGATCAGCTGTTTGCCTCTCCACGCTCAGGTTCCTGACCCACCGGGAAGCCTGTGGCGGCCGGGGCAGCGGGCCACACCGCAGGGCAGATGAGAATCTAGAAATGCACAACACTGTTCATGAATGGATTTCTATTTGGGAGACAAGTTTTGTTCCCCCGATAAAAACCTCTGTGGTGTCTTGTGAGTTGGCTTCAGACAGCTGCTGTAACAAAGAGACACACTGGGTCTCACGGGGCCAGGATCCGGTGTTGCCGGGCTGCTTCCTCTGGGAGACCCCAGGGATAGGCAGTCCGTGGCTGGTGTGTCCCGAGGCCTATTGTTTAGGCTACACAGGCCTTTGAAGAGTGCACCTTTCATCCCTTTGGCAATTGTGTGGAAAAGAACACTGGCTTGTTGAGACCGAGTGTCAGAGGACGGCTGTCAGCACCTCACAGAAAGCTGGCGGTCAGTGAGCAAGTCCTTGCGGCTGAGTCTGCCTTGGAGTCCGTCCTGACCGACACTGCCCCATAAGGCAGAACAGAACTGTCCCAGAAGCAGACTGCCACCTCCTCCTCCTGCTGCTGGGCAGCTGGTGGGTTAGAACCACCGAAGTCTACAGAGCAGATCATCAGTCTGACACCCAACAATTCGTCCATTCATACACATTTGCTTCATCTCATTACTTGCACCAAGTCCAAGTCCCTTCAATGTGTCATCTCCCCCGCCCGCCCCCCGTGGTTCCCATTATCTCCACTCCTCCCACTTTTGGAACCCTCTCAGCTCTGTCCTTGGGCAACTGTTGCCCCTTGGATCTCAGGGGGTTGTTGAGGCTAAGAGTTGTGCTCCTCCCTAGTGTCACTGCCCCTATGGACCTGAAAACCCAGCCATGTCAGCTCCAGGCTGGAAAGATTCCAAGGGCAGAGGTCTCAGCCTCCCGCCAGTGTCTCTCTGATCAGGAATGGCTGAAGTGGGCTCAGTCACAGAGACACAGAGATGGGGCAGGTCTCTCTGTGAGACGGGAGGCCCTATGTCTTCATGTGGAGACTTTTGTTCACCCCTTCTCCACTCTCCTTTTGAGGGACTGGACACTCCTGCGGTGGTCTTGGATTTCCTGCTGTGGCCCTGACTGACTCTGCCTTCCAGGTGGAGGAGATTAGAAACAGCATTGCCAAGATCGCCCAGTTTGTGGAAGAAGTCAAGAAGAACCACAGCATCATCCTTTCTGCACCAAATCCAGAAGGAAGTACGTTTGGGGCCTTACACACGTGTGCGCGTACCTGTGTGTGCGCGCGCATGTTCACCTGTGTGTGTGCCTTTGGGTGTGTGTGTGTGCCCAAGTGCCTTTGAGAGCGTCTCTTTGTCTCTCTCTTGACACTCAGCTGCTCCCGCCCTGGCTGCCCAAACTACTTATGGGGGAGCCGGTGACAGTCCTGGTACCTAGAGACGCACAGCCTTAGGGATTCTGACTCTTGGTGTGGCTCACGGTCTCGTCAGAGCTTCATAAGACCCTGGCTTCCAGCTGTGGCCTCCCGGAGGCCCCCAGCATGCCACAGCCCCACAGCAATGATGGTGCTGGGTGCTCAGTGGCCAGGGACTAGAGAGCAGGACTTGTGGGAGCACATATGAAGGTGCTGCTTCAGCAGAAGCTCCACAGGTGGGTGGCCTCCACAAACAATACTCGGTTAGGAGGCCCTGTGCTAGGGCAGGACATCTCTATGGGCTCTGAGGAGTCTCCCTGTCTCCTTCCAGCACCTGTGGGCTCGGCGTTCCTTGGAGAACACCTGTATTGTGGCATCAGCCGCCCCTTGGGTCTAGATGACTTTCTTTATGGACCTGAAGGTCTGTGGCAGCCCTGTGCCCAGGATGTCTGTTGGTTTCGTTTTTTTCAATAGCCTATGTTGGTCATTGTCATGGTGTCCAGGTTTTTCCATGCTGTGGTTGCCCACGTCACAGACACACGGTGCCAGGGGAGTCCCAGCAGGTGTGGGACTCAAGTTAGTCACCGTGGCGTTTGCGTCAGCACAGATGCTGCTGCCTCTCAGCTGGACAACACTTCCCAGGGAATGGACGTGGGTTTCTGCTGGCTGCCTTTGGACTGGGCTCTGTACCTGTGTCCGCTGCCTCCCTCGGTCTAGCTCCAGGCCCTTGGAGCAGGCCGGCTTCCTCCAGTTTGGGCTCCACCCTGGGGGTGGAGTGACTTTGTGGATCAGGCGTTGATGTGCCTTGATTGGGGGAAACCCTTGGCCTTTCCCAGCACAGGGCACCCTGATTGGTTTTGTGTGTTGTGCCCTCTGTGGGTCAGTGTGGGCAGGGATGTGCACCCTCAGGGCTGTACCAGAAGGGCCCCGCCCCATTGGCTTGTTAAGACAGAGGGCGGGACCTCCCCAGCAAGCTGCCACCAAGCAAGTGTGCGTCACAGAGCACTCTCTGGTGTCCCGTGAGAGAGAGCCGGCACCTCACTTGAGGGAGGGCAGTGCCCCTTGAATGTTGACAGGGGTGTCGTGTCTCTGCTGTGCTTATGTTGGATGCCATCACTCAGATGTCATTGTGTTGTGTATTGTTATAGAAATAAAAGAAAACCTTGAAGATCTAAACAAAGAAATCAAGAAAACCGCCAATAAAGTCCGAGCCAAGCTCAAGTGTAAGTATGGATGGGGTGGGGGAGACGGGCCACTGTTGCCTTCTCCTTGGTAACTTTCCACCTACCACTCTCCGATTATCTTGCAAAATTCAATTGATGCCCACTTTAAAATGAATGCCCTGTCTGTATTTAGAGCCCTGTTGGCCTACATGTGAGTCAGGGTTACGGCTGGCTTCGAGCCCTTAGATTTTGGAGTTTAGTAAGATTGATTAAGCGCTTGCTTATAAATCGTCAATCTTGTTATTGCTCTATATTTTTATCATGTTTTTGGCTAACTTTCAGCTATTTGAGAAGGTGACATCACCTGGAAGATGAATGGCCAGTTTTCTTCTGGGCGGTTTGTCAGGGGGGGGGACTCTTGTAAGCCTCACGGGCATTCCCACTTGGTTCTGGGTTGCTTGTTTCTCAGTTTTGAAGCAGTGCTTTCTGGGGGGTGTAGATGGGGACGCGGGACTGAAGTGGGTGCTGCTTTTTTGGATATTGTAGGAAGACACATTGTACTTCATCTTTACAAAGGAGCACAGAATCAAGAACGGTCTCTGCGCAGATTCAAACAACAACTACCATAACCCCCCTATGGAAAAAAGGGGCCCCGGTGGGGCTGTGGTTTTGATGTTGTTCTGCTAAAGATTGAGAGTTCAAACCCACCAGCTGCTCTGCAGGAGAAATTTGAGGCTATCTTCTCTGTAAAGATTTACAGACCTGGAAACCCTTTGGTGGGTTTGGGTTTTTGGTTTTTATTGTGGAAAAGGTCAAACTGAGTGTGCCCCACACTCTGCCCACACCCTCAGCTCCTGGTATCGTTAAGGCGATAGGGACTGCTTCCCCAGAAGCCATAGTCTCTGTGCTATTATTGGACCTAAATAAAATTAGTTACAGCCATTTAATAGTATTACATCATTAATAAACATTTATTGTAGAAGGTGTACCTGTTGTTATCGATTCAATTCCAATTCTTAGTGACTCCAGAAGACAAAGAGAATGACCCACTGGATTTCCGAGACTGTAGTCTCTGTGGAAGCAGACCGTCACATCTTTCTCCCTCAGAGCAACTGGTGGGTTTGAACCGCCAACTTGGTTAGCAGCGAACACTTGAACTACTATGATAACTGTTGTTGTTAGGTGCTATTCAGTCTCACATACTTTTGACTGTGGTACTAGGGCTCCTGTAACATATATAGTATGTGGAGTCTTCAGAAAGTTCACGGAAGATTCATATAATAAAAAAAACTATGCTGGATTTCAATTTTTTTCTTTGCACAAAAAAATAAGCTTATTAAAACATATCTGAACAGGCTCTCGTTTGAAGCACTAAGAAAGATAAGACATCAGTTTGAAAAGAGCCCCTTTGAGAGCAACGTGAATTCTGCTAAAATCAAAATGAGCAAACCTCAAATCTACGGTAAAGCTTGGGTGGAAGAATGGTGAAATCATTGATGCTTTACAAACAGTTTACAGGGACAATACCCCAAAGCAGTCAGCAGGTTACAAATGGACAGCTCCTTTTAAGAAGGGTTGAGATGATGCTGAAGCTGCAGCTGCGTTGGCAGGCCTTCCATGTCCATGGAACTTGTTCATGCCCGAGTTGGAACAACAGCCAGCACCACAGACATCCTGATTGGTCTGCATGACCCAATTCTGACTGAAAAATTAAAGTGGACCAAACGTTCAGCTCAATGGGGATGCCAAAAAACTGTTGCTCCCAGACCAGCTGCAGACAAGCAGAGCAGTCAATGGAAATTTTAAACAAGTAGGATTTCTTGGAAGACTTGTAACAGGAGATAAAGAATGGCTTCCCCAATACGATCTTGAAGACAAATCACAGTGAAAGCGATGACTACAACACCATGGAAGTGGGTCCAGTCAGAGCAAAAGCAGACGGTCAAATGCAAAGGTCATGGCAGTAGTTTTGGGGACGTTCAAGGCATTCTGCTTGTTGACCAGCAAACAGTGGTAACAACTCATTTTGAAAGTGTTTTGAGCAGTTAGCGAGCACTTTAGCAGAAAATGCTCAGGAAATCTTTAAAAACAATTTTTTTTATTAATTGTTTTATTAGGGGCTCATACAACTCATCACAATCCATACATACATCAATTGTGTAAAGCACATTTGTACATTCATTGCCCTCATCATTCTCAAAACATTTGCTCTCCACCTAAGCCCCTGGCTCAGGAAATCTTCCCCAGAGAGTCTTTCACCACAACCAGGCTCCTGCTCTTTCTTCTCATCAGCAAGGGCAGGTTGGGAGAGTTTGGGTGGGAAATCATTAGACATCTACCTTACAGTCCTGATTTGGCTCCTTCTGACTTTGTGTTTCCTAACCTTAAAAACATTTAAAGGGTACCCGTTTTTCATAATGAATAGTGTAAAAAAGACTGCATCGACATTGCTAAGTTCCAGGACCCTCAGTTCTTTAGGGATGTTTTATAATAGTATTTTTATAATAGTATTTTCACCTCGATGGAGTATAGATTGAGGGATAAAATAGATTTGTCTTTTAATTCTGTTTTTGCCCAAACTTTTTGAAGCCTTCTTGTGCCTAATATATTTTTACTACTAGCCAGTCAGAGTGTATATTTCCCTGTGGTTTCATAATTGTTATTATTGTGTTTATCTCTTTGTACAGTTCCTTTGGGCTGGGATCCAGATAAGAGCCACACTTTCTGACTGGTCGATACAGCGTATTGCTGTATATGCAATGTCTTGGCCATTGTTTCAAGGCCTTCTCAAGTGGTTAACGCAAGAACGTTTTCATATTTTTTCTTTTCTTTTTAAAGAGAAGGTGAATCATGAATTCCTACTGGTACTTCCAAGTCAAATTAAAGACTAAGGGTTTTTACCTAATTTGAAGGGATTAATCTGTATCTCCTTTCAGCTATGCACCAATCCTGGTTCTCAGTGACACTTACATAACTCCCCTTTGTTTTATCCTGTAGTACACATAGGATGAGCACTGGTGGTGCTGTGGATTAGGCCTGTGGCTGCTAACCACAAGGCTGGCAGTTCAAATCCATCAAACAGTCTGAGGGAGAAAGATGAGGCAGTCTGCTCCTGTAAAGAAGAGTCATTTCAGGAACCCCGTGGGGCAGTTCTGTGGGGTCAGTACGATTGGAATCAGCCGCATGGCAGAGGGTTTATAATGTCCACACAATGGATCGGGTAATAATGCTAACACCTACCACAGAGAATAAACCAAGAAACCATGCCCACTGCCATCAACTCGATTCTAGTTCACTGTGACTCGATACAGATTTTCTGGGACTTTCAATCTTTACGGGAAGAGAGTAGTCTTCACCACAAAGAATCACAACTCATTGCGGCAATCCAACACACAGTGACCCTCTAGGACAGGGTAGAACTGTCTATATGGGTTTCCTAAGGAGCACAAAGCCTCATCTTCTTCTCTTGGAGCAGCTGAGGGGTTCAAACTACTGACCTTGTGCTTCTCAGCTGAGCCCCTTAATTGCTGTGCCACCACCTAACAAGCATGGTATGATTTGCTCTTGCTAACCTGTCTGCAGGTGTAGGGTGGGGGTGGGGAAGAATCAGTACAAATGGGGTTGGAAGCCAGCACCACTGGGGCTCATTTCAAGTCAAATCTGTAAGACCAGGTGGTCAGAGAGCTCTGCCTTCGCTCCCTGTGCCCTCGACCCTCCACGTTATGTCAGTAACTCGGGTCACACACCATTCCTGGTTTCCAGTGGATAGAAGAGCTATGTTGATGCTCTCTGGTAGTCTATGATAGGCGAAGTAGCGTTATGACAAAGTGTGACACGGATATGGAAAGTGTGGCTCGAGTTACAGTGGAACTTGCTTTACTGTGGTGGTCTGGAGCCAAACCCACCTGCACATACATATCGTATCTGAGGGACTTCAAAAGGTTCACGGAGAAATAAAGTTAGAAGATGAGGGGTA